TTTAACACTGAAACACCAACAGCTTCACTTTGTGTACACTACCTAAAAGCACCTACTTTTTTACAAGACTGATAGATAAATTGGCCAGCTTAAAATGAAGATAAAGACTCCAACCCTTGGGTGATATATGCTGGAAAGACTTGCTGGAATCACTGAATGTTCACCAAACTGAAATACTCATCCTGTCTGTGGGATTGCATGAGCCTGTACAAATGTAACAATATTTCTGCTGACTTACAGGAATATTCAAATTGAAATGACATAACCATGTCTTTCTAAAAGAAGTATGGAATTACTACTTGCCATCACATCACCAGTAGGTAGCACAGGCAAATGAAAAACTAAATGGTCTACCTGCAAAACCTTCACACCTGTAATTAGATAAGGCTTTTCTACCTCAGAAGAATTGCAATCATGCTACTTTCCAGACTCAAGGTCACATCTGGACATCTTCACTTTCCACCATAGCAACTCTACCAGACAGCATTAACAAAACTCAGCCAGGTCCTTCTATACTTAGACATCTGATCCAAGCAGTACACTAAATATCTCTATCTTTGCACCAGATGTATCAGAAGACACCTCACACCTCCCTACTACATTTTATTGCCATTCTACAAAAAAAATAACAGTGACAGATAAAAAGACAAAAAAAAAAAAGGGCAAGCTCTGCTCACTCCCAAACAGAAGCACATCATTTTGCCATTTATACACAGAGCAAGGGATCTCACTCAATGTTGAGAGCATGGAGGTACCTCCAGAGCACGTATTCCAAAATACAGATTAACAACTCTCTGTGATTACTGAAGCAATCTCTAGTGAAGAACATGTGAAACAAGGATCTCAACTGCCACATCACAACCTCATAAAGCTAGTGCACAACAGCACACAGAAATACAGCACTCTTAGGTTAAATGGGCAATAAAACCCAAAAGATCAAGATGACAATTTCATCCTGAAGGTTTATCCCTTAGTCTAGGGCAGCCAGAGCTCCCAAGCCCCCCGGCCTTTCACACTCAAAGAAAGCAAAATTAAAGCAAGGGATCCTACCCTTCCTTCTTGTGTGAAAATACACACAGGAATCATTAGAATGAAAACTATCTGTATTGTTTTCTTATTTGAAGTGCCTAAAATATAATAGCAGGCACTGACAAGGGGCTGTATTCCTCACGGTTGTCAGGCAAGACCTAAGTCAGCCAGGCCCATAGAAGATCTCTCCAAAAGTAATTATCTACAATTCCTTGCTTTAATCTCCTCCACAAGACTCACACAAGTATTACACCTTCCAAACTGGAATGTGGATTCTCAAACTGACATCCATGAGGAGCACAAGCACATGTGTATGCCTCACCACAATTTCCTCTCACTAGCATGAGGTTTTCTGGAACATGGCATGTGGAACATCACAGCAAAAATTAGGAGCATGCAGCATTGAAAAAACCCAAACAAAACCCATTTTCATATGCTTTATATGGTGCACAGGCACCACTTACTCATACCAGAAGGATGGTGGAGCCACAACTGACACCAAAGGAGGCTTCAAACATCTGCTCCTTATTGCTCTTCAGCCCAACCTTTTATAACCTTCACCTTGAATGCCCTGCCCCTGTGTGCTCCCTGTGTGATTGCTCAGCACCCCTGGGCACTCCCTGGCTCCTCACCTTCAACAGCATTCACCTGTCCTGCACAGCTGCAGCCACTGGGGATCAGCCACAGCCCCACTCCAATCACCACAAACTCTGCGCCCACAACGTGCACACACTACAGTTATTTTGCAACCAAGCAAACTGAACCTTCATAAACAGAAGAACTAGCAGATGGCAATTAAGAGTTACATAAACACCTACCTAAATTATACAAATGGTTGCCTACAGTAAAAGTATCAAGCATTTATCCTTGCTCATGTCATCCCAACTCCCTGTGAGCTCGTCCCCATCCATCCCATCCCCTCAGAAAGGTCTGACCTGGTGCTGTCATCTGTCTTTCCTGAGCACTTGTACATCTCCCAGTAATCTCTTCACTGAGCTGACTGCAGCTGGGACAGCTTTATTCAAATTCCACCTCCCAAAGTTCACCAAGCACTCAAAAGCAATGACCAGATACTCCATCTTTTTGAGCTGCTCAGTCTGAGAGAATTACCCTCAAGAGATCTCACCATTCTCTGGTAATCATATAATCCCCCACTATCACACCAGCCCCTCTCTCCCTGCTTTCAACCCACCACAGTAAGCAAAAGGCAGCAGGGGATCAGTCTAGAGCTGAATAAACAGAAACATGGAATGGGAAGGATATTCTGTAAGGATAGTCTTTAAGGATCTACAGAAATCCCTGTCTGACCATTCATGGCAGCACCTGGGAAGTTAGGCTAAGTGGTTAGACTTAACACAAAGAAATTAAGACTTCAGGAAAACAGAACTAGTAAAACTTAAATACTGGGTTCCTTCCATAATTCTCAACTGCCTTGGAACTCATTCACTGCCAACTTCAATTGTGAGCAGCTTTTTTTCTCTCATGGCCAAAGCAAAACTCTGGGCATACCTTTGCTTTAGTATCACAGAACATCACTTGTAACACTCTTTCAGCCACCTCTGTGCTACAGGCTCTCTGCTGCCATGGCTATAATCAAAAACTAGCCCAGCAGCAATGCTGAGGGGCTCTCCTGACATCACTAAGGTGCCTGACATAGAGCACAGAAAAGTTCTCTTCTCTTCACATAGCTAAGGTGCTTTGCCACGAGACAAACATGTCACATAGGAATGTGATTTTATTTTTGTGTCTTCTTCCACGCTAACTAACTGAGCATCTCTGGCAAAACTATACATTGTCCAGTCCAAGCAGGTCAGGAGTTCCTCATTGTCTCCAAAACTGTCTTCTACATACCCTAAATTCTAGTGCCCTCACTACAAGAGAGACAGGTTAAGCTCAGAAGCACCAAGAAGCCATCAATTATTTTCCTTCTGTAAACAAGGAAGCAGGAACTGAACGCAAACAGGGATCAGAGTATCCTCCACTGCCACAGCACCAGGTTCTTCTCAAGTTCAAGAAAGATTCTTCTCAAGTTTAAAGAGCATAAAATCAAAAGCTACAAAAATTCATTCCAAAGCCCATTTCAGTGTGTGCAGGCCTCCTCTCACTTTAGCCATAAGTATCACACGCCTGTGTGAAATTTCCCTGCACAGTAAAGAGGAACTTACAATTCGCTGTGTGAAATTTACCTGCACAGCAAAGAGGAACTTGCAACTGCCTGTGTGAAATGTACCTGCAGAGCAAGGAGAAACTTACAAAATTAAACTCTCCAGCAGTTTTCTCTCTAACGGGTGTTGGCTATGGCAACTTGTGCCCATCAGACAACTTATGTCATTGTGCGGACACTCAGGGATGTACCAATCTATTTTATTAGACAGCAAGACAATCTAGGAGCCGTAAAATCTTATGCTTAAATGCAGCTTTTGCCAGAGAGACTTCAAGCACCTTATTAATTTGGGCAACTTCCCTGTTTTATCCGTGAAGAGAAGACTGTTTAGCAGTAATGCCAAGGGTTCATGATGGCAGCTTCTAATTCCCTACCCCAAACACTCAGAAACCACCATTTCTGCCACAGGAAAAACACCACAAAGCGAGGTCCCACTTAACACCTTATAAGCACAAAAAAAAGGAACAAAATATTTAAGCACAGATAACAACTGAGACCAGATGCAACTTCTACCATTCATCAACTAGTACACAAGAAAAAAGGCCCAGTAATCTTTCTCCGCCCAGCCTGAACAACTAAAAGAAACAATCCAAATATGTAGGAGAAACTGGAAACCTTCTCAGTAAACTAAACACCCAGTGTTAGTATGAATTAGTATGAATCAGACTCCCTCCGCATATTAAGCGTGGGCAAACAAAGAAAGAAAAGAATGCAATTTTCCAAGGCATACACCTCTGCTGTGTTCTGACAAAACAGCAATTCAGTACCGAAGTGAAACGTCGCACTATCGTTTGCCGTAGTGTGCTGTATGACATGCTGTAAACACGGCAAAGCTTTAGTAATACCAGACTTGACCACTGGCCCATACCAGACCTTGCTCCACCCTGAGAAATCTGCGCTGAGAAGTGGGGCAAGACTGACAGGTTTTATTGTGAAACTTAACAGGTTTGTGGATTAGCAAAGCTACCGTATTGAAAGCTGCAAATCCCTCGCCGGTCATGTCTCTACAGAACCGTGCTCATTCCTCAATTAAAATTTTATCATTAAAGTTACCAAAACGCCACACAAGACCTACCAGTTTCTGCCTGTTCTAGAACATTATCATAGTACATGGGATAAAATGTTTTGGTTTTCTTTAAGAGTTTGTTTTTCGTCATTCACGAGCAAAACTCGACAACCCCCCGATGTTGAGCTATGCTGGTTTTTTTTTCCAAGGTTCCCCTGTGCTTTGCCATCGTGAAGATTTGGTAAAAGCGAAGGCACGGTATTTAGCCAGACTTACGCCGTTCTTCGGGCTGAAAATGCCTTTAACTTTTGGGAGCGAACTGACCAGCAATGGCAACCGGTTTCTAGAGAAGATCGAGGAGAAGGGCGACCCGGGCCGCGGACGCACGCTGAGGCAGGCACACACATAGACATACGCGAGCGAGGGCAGCAGCTCCCCCCCGCCTCAGGACGGCACCGGCATCGACCCGGGCCCCACCGAACCCCCGAGCCTCGCCTTACACCGCCGCAGCTGTGAGCGGCTTCCTCCCAGCCTTTACACCGCTCCCTTCGGGCTCGGCCGGCTGCCCTCGGCCGCCCGGAGCCGCCCCGGGCCCTGCCGAGCTCACCTGCCCCGGCAGCGCCGGGCCCTGCCCGGAGGCCGCACCGCGGCTCGGCCGGGGAGCGCGGCGGCGCCGGAGCCGGCCGCGTTGCCAGACCCGCACCGCAGCAACCCCCGCACACCGCAATGGCCGGGGGTACCGCCGCCGGTGGTGCCTCCCCCCGCCCGGCTACCTGCCCGCCCGGCCCGGCCCCGACTCACAGTGCGTGCGTGAAGGCGCTGAGTCCCGCGGGCACGGCCGCAAGCCCCCGCCCGGAGCAGTCCACGCCGCGGTCGCCGTCGCAGCTGCACGGGGCCGGGCAGGGCGGGGGGGGACGCTCCGCCGCTGTGTCCGGCCCAGCTCCCCAGGCCCCAGGCGACGAGGCCAAGCAGAGCGAGGCACCGCATCGCCGACCCCGCCGGCCGCCCAGCTCCCTCGGCCCGGCTCGGCCTGCGGCTCTGCGCTGGCGCCCTCCGCCTACCGAGCCCGGCCGACCGCCGGGAAAACGTATAAAAACCCACCAAAAACAACAATGACAAAAAAAATCAAAATAAAGGGGCTCCTCCGTCCGGCGCGGCTCCGGGGCTGCCTCAGCGGGAAGTCAGCCCTCCGCCGCCCGCCTGCCCCGTGCACAGCCCGCAGCGCTGCTCGCCACCGCTCATCTCAGCCGCGCAGGCAGCGCTCGGGGGAGGCCGTGCCGGTGGCGGTGCCGGGCCGGCCCCGGTGGCTCCGCTGGCGCTCCCGCCCCTCCCGGAGCTCGGTCCTGCGGCCGCGGCGGCTCCGCGCCCAGGGCAGAGGTGCGTATGCTAATGAGACGGCCGCACCCGCGCTCCCATTGGAGCGAAGCCGGCGCGGGGTGGGGAATATGCAAAATACAGGCGGGCCACAACCAACGGGCGCGAGGGGCGGGGCCGGCACGGGCAGCCCCGCCCTCCACCCCGGCGGCCACCGCCCCCGGGGCCGCTCCCTCACGGCGCCGGGACCCCCGGGACCCCCGGGCGCAGGGAACCCGAGCGAACGGGGCACAGCCGCGGCCGGGCCGGCCTGCGAACCAGGGCAGCGCCGGGCCCCGGCACCTTAGGACACCATTTCCAGCCCTGGCGTTGCCGCAGCAGGAGCGGGCGGGCGCCTGGGCCCGCGTCCCCCCGCAGCCGGCAGGCGGTGGCCCCGGCCGGGCTCAGACAATGCACTGCAGGAGATAAAGCCGCCCCGATCGGGGCCCAGGAGCAGAGGATTCCAGCCGGCATGGCCCACCCATGCCCTGGGAGGGAGCACGGGGGCCGTGCCGTCCTGCTGCCCCAGGGACACAAAAGCGCTTCTCACTGCTGTTCCCAAAGCTGCAGTGACTGAGCACAAGCTCTGCTCAGAACCGGTGTGCTGTGAAAGAGCTGTTCCCTTCCCACACAAAGCACCGCCGTGGTACCTGGTACCTGCTGTACAGCTCACACATTGCTACCAAACCTGTGCCCGTCTGCCTCCTTTTCTCCTAACTACCTTAAAAACAGAACTAAACAAAACGGAAACCCTATCTATCTAACTTTGTCGTTACTGCCCTCCATCACCTGACTTTTTTTTTAAATGCTTTCTTTTGGACACTTCTATCTTGCAGCCACCACCAGAAATGAGCCTGTTGCATTAGCTTAGCTCACTCACACACCATGCCCCGCACACAATCACTACAATCACTGCTTTTTCTCCCAGATTTACTCTAAACCAGGACAGGGTGTCACAGCAGCCCTTGGGTAACCTCTCAGTGCCACCCGCTCTGAGCCAGCAGATCTGGCTGGAGAAAGCCCAGCAGGGGCACAGGCTCATGCTCTCGAGCACAGCCACAGCGCCTGCTTCACATGTTGGGGCTGGATGCTAAGCCCAGCCCAAAAAGCCCCCAGACCCCAGCAGCTAGGCAGGAACCCTGAGAAGACAAAGGATGCTGCAGATTCAATGTGAATGAAGCAAAAGCTGTTTGTTGTGCTTCTAAATGTTATTTACTTTTTACCTTGGGTCTACACAGTCGCACGTTGTTTGATTTGTTGCTCCACTTTGTCCACTCATCTCCTGGTTGGCAACTCTGTTTTGTCCACCAGGCAGCACACATCCTTTTCTTACTCTAATTGATAGGAGCTGCAAGTGTAATTTCACTTGGGTTGACACCCCTTTGTCTGTCAGCAACACTTCTTCTTACATCATCAGCTTTTTTTATCCCCAAAGATAACCTTGTTCTTTAGTTGCAGAAGGTCAGGCTGGTTCACGCAGTACATGTCCATTTGCCTGTGGATATGATCCCACAGGGTCAGGCTGGTTCATGCAGTACATGTCCATTTTCCTGTGGGTATAATCCCACAACAGCCTTCTGTCCATCCTGCAGGTAAATAGACGACAGAAGCACAGACAGGGCTCCGTAGCTGACAACCTGCCCCTGCCACAGCAGAAATGGGCTGAACCCCACCCCCCTGCACACACAGAGCTCTGCCAGCTCCCCTAAAGCCAGGAGCAGATCTGCAGTGGCAACTGAACCTTAGTCCAAAGTCAAAGCACCTGTCCAAGGGTGTCACACGACCTGGTGGCACTCACTTCAATTTCCTGCAGTTGCATATGAAAAATCCTGAATACCTGCAAATAGGTGGTAAGGCAGAGAGGCCAGGGATGAGGCAGGCCCCATCACACAGTGCAGAGCCAATGTCCACAGCACCCCTGGCCTGGCACTGCTGCTCAGCCAGGAGTTGAGAGCTCATCCCTCACACTTCACCTTCCAAGGGCTGCCTGTGACAACACTGATGTCCCAGTGGACACCCTGTGCAGGGCTGAGGTCTGTGCTAATCACACCTTTCTTGAGCTGACTGAGGCAAAGGGAAAAAAAGCAAAAAGTCTTTGCTTAAAAAATGGTCACTTGGTGAAAATTAAAAATCAGGCATGTCAATGGTGGGGACCTGAAGATTTAAAATTATCTGTGCCCAAGAAAGTACACGGTGAGGACTCTAGGAATACAGACCCTCCAGCCACCACCACCCCCATCCCCTATATTTCTCATAATTTTTCAACTTTTCTAAAGTGTTTCAACCTTTCTAAAAGCATTATGATTAATTTATCTAGTTGCAAAAATGGTTATTTTCTTGCATTTAGTAATCCTGTTCCTGCTGCACTGATTTTACATGAACATCATCACTTACCTGTGAAAAAGTGAGGTCCCTTTAATAACAGGCCGTGTGCTTGTCCCATACCTTGTGAGAAATACGAAGTTCTCAAAGTGGAAGGTACCCCTGTGTGCTATAAAAGTACCAATGTTTGCTGTAAGTACAGATACTGGGTTATCTTTTGTCCTCCCTGGCTGCTCTTGGCAGAGAAATGCTGCTGTCAAAGCCATGTTGTTCTAAGAAATGTCAGGGCCAAAGCCACCATGCATTCATGTCACTTTCTGTGCCTGTGCTCAGGGATAGCAGAGGAGGAGCAGCAGCCAGAGCAGAAGGGGAAAAAACTCAAAGGAGTTCTCTCAACTTCTGCAACAAAACAGATCCAAACCAATCCCCACAAGAAAAAGTGACCTTTTTCTTCTACTACTGGCAAAGAAAAATAGCAAAACACTTACACTCACTCTGCAAATAGTCTCACTTCACTAAGCAAAGATAATGGGAGCAGAAATGGCCCTCGGTGCCTGCCTGGATTTTGGAAGACAAACAGTAGCATGGAGTTACTCTGTACAGCAGCAGTGGTACCCTACAATGCCCTCAGAAGTTCTCTGGACAAAAGGGCCCTAGTAAAAGCAGAATAGCAGAGCTTTTTTATTCATTTTTTTTTTTCTGCATGCTTTGAAGCACTGGAATAGTCTAGCTTTTCCTCCCCATCCTTGCCTGATGTCAATTTTTCTCTTTCTTTTAGCAGCACCACTTCAGATTTCTTTCCTTAGTGCAGCTCTCTGAAGTGGCCACATTTGACACTCCTGTCCTAGGAACAATCCACTTCCCCTTTTTATCCAGCCAATACTGCTTCCAGTTAGTCTGGAACTCATACTGGCAAATTAATACTTTCCTTAGTTTTTCAGCCTCTGCCTTGCTGGTACTGATGGATCACTGCTCCATCAACAACTCCCATTTTTCTCACTTTCTGCTTAGGCAGACACCCGCTTGCAGGGATTTATTGATTTGATTTTCCTTGATAAATAAAACCCTAGCATTTTCTGTGAAGCTGGCTTATTTTTATAAGAAAGATCTACATGCTAAGACATTTTTAAGCTGAAAAAATATGGCCATATTTTACTAAATGACCTATTTAACAAAAAAATATACTGTGAATTTTGAAATTATCATAATTTAAAAATCTAGTCTGAAGCAATCCTTAATATCACAAATCCCAAGAAGCATCCCCCAAAATACAGCATAAGGCAGCAATTAGCTTATTAAATTTAAAAAAAAAAAAAAACCCACAAAAAATACACCAAACCTGCAAAAGAGAGAAAAATTCTGAGGTGTGCTTTAAACAAGGTGAAGATGATGAGGGTCAAACTATCAAGTCAATAAAAAAATTAGATAAAACTAGCTCATTTTGGTTGAGCTGTGGAGAAACTATTTGGTGGAGAAACTATTTTCTGTTCCTCTTCAGGGGAAATGGGAAGCACCATAAACTGATTTATTACTGCGAAACATCTCCAGGATTTGATGCCTGATGTACAGGCACAGGGCTTTGAAACTTGTGTCAGACATTTGGTAAAAAGGCATCAGGAAAGTTTGAGAGACATAGGGGGAAAATACCAACATGGCATTTTTTCCTTCTATTGCCACAGAACTGTCCAGCAACGTACCTGTTTCTGACAAAATCCCACTTCAGAGACACAAATTCATTTGGATTGAATGGGAGTCTGAAGTGGAAGAGCATGCAGATTAAAACCTGAAACACAGACACAAAAATAAATACAAAGTGATGGTAGACTGGAGCATCAGAACTCCTGCTGCTAGAGCTGTGCCATGAGGGGATGGCAGGAGAATGGGAATGTGAAGATCATAGTCGTGATAAAAAACTTTATTTTCCTGTAAGAATTTCTTAGACTTTACAGAAAACACAGGGATTTGCATGGAGGTTTTAATTTCTAAATTGGGATAAAAACTGAGTCAGTGTGTTAGTCCTGCAAGGTGAGCTGTTCCACACATCCCAGTTATCCTCCATCAGAAATGCTGATGGGGCAGGATGTGCCCCAAGGGCTGTTCCCCTCCCTAAGGATAGCCCAGACCCGGTTTAGTATGCAGATGGAAACACAGAAATGTATCCAGCTTAGAGCAGCTTTAAATTTTATCTGTCTAGTGATGAAAATAAGCTCCAATGGGCTGGAAATGGAGCTGAAGGACTCATGCAAACTGTGAAAGAGGCATCACAGCAAAAGCTCTGCTGCTGTTACTGAGCCCCACACTGCTGGGAAATTCAATTAGCACTTGGATTCTGCCTCCACAGTGTGCTGGCT